TGAATGACCTTGACCAACTTTCAAGGTCACATGGTCAAATGTCGTAAAATCTTCAAGCGACTTCTTTTCAATAAGCAAAAGGGCCAGGGTACTGAAATTGGGCCTGTAGCATGCTGGGATAAAGGACTACCATGTTAGTTCAAATGAATGACCTTGATCCACTTTCAACCTAATGTCCTTGTTCAACAATCAAGGTCAGAGGCATCATATGTTTAAATCTTTTAATATGTTAATATGTTTTAATAGGTTCTTATGAAATCTTAAGATTACAAGTGTTAGATTAATAACAGGTGAGCGATGCAGGCCCATTGGGCCTCTTGTATTTAGTTTATGTTAAAATTATCAAGAAATATTCTTTACAGAATTCCTTGAAATGACTTGTTCAGAATACTTTAAATCATTGTTTGTATTATTTATTTTTATATCCTTTCGCAGAGTGAAAATGGAGCGTGACCGTTGGTCCCCTATTGCTACAACGTATGATCCCCTGAGGGCAGGCAGCATTGATACCACAGACAGAGACCCTCATGATCGAGGGATTGTCAAGGCCATGAATGCCAAGTATCGTCCAAACAAAGATGTTGTAGGCAGTCCAGAAAAAACTGTATTCATTGCTAGACTTAACCCAAAGACTACTGAGGATACCGTTGAGTCAAAGTTTTCAAAGTATGGTGACATTGAAAGACTAAGATTAGTGAGAGACTTGGTAACTGGATGTTCACGGTGTTATGCATTTGTGGAGTATCAGAATGAAAAGTCAGCCTACAGGGCCACTAAAGAGGCTGATAAAATTGAACTTGATGGTTGTGAAATTTTTGTGGACTTTGAATGTGAGAGAAAATTAAAAGGATGGATACCAAGACGGCTAGGTGGTGGACTGGGCGGTAAAAAAGAGTCTGGTCAGCTGAGGTTTGGTGGCAAGGATAGACCTTTCAGAAAACCATTAGATTTGGAAAATAGATTCAGATCTGACCATTCTCTAAGAGATAGAACAAGATTTCAGGATGATAGTCGCTCAAGATCTGAATATGGACAGGATGGAAGACGACAAGGTAGATTTGAGAAAGTATTTTCGGACAGGTCCTCAACTGGAAAATACCAGGAGGCAAGGGAAAGACAACGGCATAGTGGCAAAGACTATAGTGACTCCTCTCAGTCTGGCAGGTCAAGGGAGGATAGAGATAGTTATAGAGACTATAGTGAGGGTAGAGATAGATCTGTAGTCGGTAGGTCCAGGGGAGATAGAGATAGGTACAGATGCAGTGATGGAGACTACAGTGTGACTAGGGACAGGTCTCCAGCCAGTGTATCTTCTAGGGACAGACGCAGAGAAAGTGACCATGGAGACAACCACCGATCACATCACAGGAGGAGCAGGTCAGGAAGTAGAGACAGATGATAGATAATTACATAAAGAAATAAAAATAACATTTTTAATATGAAAGGAAAGTTTACAGCAATACATGTATCGGCAAAATCCAATATGCTCTCAAAATGACATCTGATTGCAGATTGAACAAGTAAACATACAATCTGTTTTTCTTATGTTGAAGTCTGTTTTTATTCATCATAATTTCGAAACACACATTTCTAGTTTAGGATTAATTTTACAGATTATTTTCTGGTTTGTGGGGAAAATGGATTGTCATTGTTTTAATCTCACTAGACAGATTATGTTTCCTGTGAAATAATTCTGTGGATGTTCATCTTTCCGTGCATTTGTTGACAACTTAGAATGGGGTAGAACTATGAGATTATTTCTATAACTTACTAGGTTGCAAGGCTACTAAGCTTGTTCAAATGAATTTCCTTGGCCCATATTCAAGGTCACAAGTCAAATATATTCATGAATCAACCCCCAAAATATCAGTCGTATTGGTCTAAAGCACGCCTGGCCAAATTAAAGTTGAGCTTATGCCATGGTGCAGCATCAAAAAGGAAATGTGGTTTAATACTTCAAAGTCTACTCTTTAAGCATGGGTGAAGATATTTTGACATGATCTGGCTTGACATATCATTTGGCAAAGGATAAGAGTTCAACATTATAAACAAAAGGATTTTAGTCTTTTTGGGTACGGCCCAAATACTGAGAATGAGGCAAAAACATCTCCAAGTTCTCCTACTGAGGCAAATTATCATATCGTGACCAGATGACTTTTGGGCTGTTTGGAAGTGAAGGGCTGCCTAGGGCTAGGATTGCCTGTGATATTTTAGGCTTCTCAAGTTTCCATCTGCCTTTGTTAAACTTGATGAACATGCTTATGGTCCTGATCTGGACTGCTGTGGGTTCATTTGAAATACAAATTACCAACCATGGCCAGTGATTTGATACTAATTCTCAAATCAACCAGATTTTACTTGTGTAACTTTTAATAAAATGTTATGCAAATGTTTATAAATTTACCAGTTGCTGTTATTTTAGTTCATTAGGTCAATAAGAACTAGGATGGCCACTGCTGTCTTATTTAAGCGGGAAAAACTAGGGAAAGGAAGTGAGCGATACAGGGCCTTGGAGCTTCATATAGCTGATAGAAACGTTTAACATTAATTTAATATGCAACAATTGGATAATAACTACACTTGATGAGGGCCATGAAAGGAACATACTGTATGTAAAATATTTATCTGAATTGGCTAGAAATAAATAAAAAAGAAGAAAATGTAAAGGCTTTTGATTTCAAATGAGCCCATCCACCAACCCACCTAAAAGATCTACACACAAAAAATGGTAATGTTTTTCTTCAAATTCTATTTAAGATATTTTCTTAACGTTCACTTTTAGATATATTGATGATGTGATTATTGTGTATACTCTGAGCCTGAAATCAAGGACACAACAGACTTGTCTTCCACAACATTTACAAACAACATAACTTACATGACGTCTTACTACTAATCTGTAAGATAAACCTGACAATTTAGATTTGTTTTAATCTTGAGCTTTCCCTTACTGTCAAAGGTATTTCATACTTCATGGGAATGTTACTGACAACTCCCTGACCAAGTGTTGTTATTTTTTGGGTCGATTAGAAATCCAATATGGCTGCCACGACGCCATTTTGAAAAACTATTTTAAACTTACATAGTCAAGTTCTACTGGGCGATTTATCTGAAACTTTGTATGAATGATCAATTCATGGTGCTGACCTAGTGTTGTTAATTTTCGGGTCGATCAGAAATCCAATATGGCCGCCACGGCAGCCATTTTGAAAAACTATTACAAACTTACAAAGTCAAGTTCTACTGGGCCGATTTAACTGAAACTTGGTAGGAATGATCAACTCATGTTCTTGACAAAGTGTTATTATTTTTGGGGTCAATCAGAAATCCAATATGGCTGTCACAGCCGCCATTTAAAAACACTATTTCTAACTTAAATTCAAGTTCTACATGGACGATTTAACTGAAACGTGGTAGGAATGATCATCTCATGGTCGATCAGAATTCCAATATGGCCACCATTTTGAAAAACTATTTCAAACTTAAAGCCAAGTTCTACTGGGCCCATTTAACTGAAACTTGATAGGAATTATCAACTCATGGTCATGGCAAAATGTTTTTTACCCAGGTCAATCAAAAATTCAATATGGCCGTCATGGCTGCCATTTTGGAAAAAAAACTATTTAAAACTTGAAATCAAGTTCTAATAGGCTTTATTAACTGAAACTCGGTCTAGGAATGATCAACTCACTGTCCTGACAAACTTAACTTAAAGTTATACTTCGCTTTTTGTTACTCAAATTTTGGTAGCGATGATTGACATCATTATCTCCACTTCATATTTTAACAACAAAAATGAATACTGTAGGACTCGGGTTACCATTAAGGCCCATGGGCCTCTTATTTTAAAATTAATAGACATAGATTTTTAATGCTCTGGTCAGAGACGTATTTGCTACTGGCTTTATATGTCTCTGCTCTGGTCAATCATGCATCTCATTAAAACCTTCCAGTAACTCTTATTTCAGAGCAATTTTTGATGTTATCAAATGTTGTTTTCAGATACCAAATAAGTAATACAGGAGCTGTAGATTATTTATGTCTTACTTGTAGCAACCTGTATGATTAAACAAGTTTCGCCTAAATTATACAAAAGAGGCAAATACGGAAGTATAAACCATTGAAGAAATTCTCTCTATTATCAGTATAACTGCAGTCTTGTATTTATCTCTCATGCAGCTCGTAGAAAAGCGCATTACCAAGAAATACGCTGGCACTTGCTGAGAAAAATGTGATCTGGCCTGGGTTATATTATAATCTGCATTGATTTCTTTGTAGCTATTTACTTCGAAGACAATCGGTAATTCTACTATCTGCCTCTTAATCGCTTGATGTTTGAAAAAACGAAAGCTGATTACCTTGATCTTTACTTGAAACATGACCAACAAGGACGGCTTACCACCAACTGAGCCGTATTCCAGTTGTGAACTTTTACTCTTTTTTTATAGTTACATCCCTTCCTTAAAACTATGGTGTTTACACATTGCAGTTAATTCGGTATTTAAGAGCTTGTTGTACATTGTTGTTTTGTTGACACTACTCCGTTTTTATCCGCTGTTTTATATCGTGCTGTCATTCCGGCGATCGCAACTAATATCTAACAATCTAGCAATGCCCAACCACATACTCATTTAAAGCTGAGTAGACTGGAAAAAGCGGAGTAAAGTATCTTGCTCAAAGATACATCACAGTGATGTGCCGGGACTCGAACCCGCAACTCTTCGGTCAACAGCCCGGCGTCCTTCCACTAAACTACCGTGCCTCCTTTATGGGGAGCGACGTCCATACTTTGGTTTTCGCAAGATAACTTGGTATGCAAGTACGTTGTACAAATACTGAGGCTAACTTTAAATTTTAGCAAAATCCGTGGATAATTAATTAGTATATTGTGCTCTTATTGGTCGATACAGTGTAACTTGCTTACTGCAGTGCTCTGATTTGATGACGGTTTACGCAAAATAACTTTGTCAAATACGACCTGATTGTAATGAAACTTGGTCAAGTTATATATTATATAATGACATAGGCTTAGCTCAAAGGTAAGCAAAACCTACAATAATTTATTGGCATACTGCTACTAACTGGTTGACGGTTTTCGCACAATAACTTACTCAAATATGGCATTATTCTGATGAGACTTGGTCAATATTTACACTCTGCCTAATAGCGAAATCTGCTAGTAATTAATGATCAATAGAAACATCTTTGGTTTTCATATTAGTTGTGTGCATGTAAGATGAATTGATAATTGGCAATTTCAATTTCTATTTTCATGGTTTGAAATATATACAAAGGGAGACAATTCCTATGAAAATAGTTTTTTCAAAGGTCATATAGAATATATGAAATATATTCCTTTAGCTTAAATTGATCAAGTACAGTATGCGTTCTCCTTTCATCACACTTGCCTCACTATATCTATAATGTATTATTAGTATTGTTGTTTATATATATGTGTGTGTATTCATGGCTAGGAGGCGGAGGACTGATACATGCGGAGACAATTGCCTTATCTTTTAGCTTGTAAATAAATAAGATTATTGAAATGAATGAAAATAAACAGTCTCGTTGTGGATTTCACAGGGAACAATCCAGCATCTAAACATTATGTAGCGCTGCAAATTAATAGTCATCAAATTACATATATCACGTTAACACCACACACAATGGCGTTTTTGTTCTTAAATTTGTTCTAGTAAAACATCCTCTTCACTCGTTTGATTCTTGAGAGTTTTATTGCTCCCTCTTTGATACCATTTGTAACAAAATGTCAATTAGGTACATTTGTAATTAATGATAAATAAGGGAAACATCTTATAATTTGTAAGATAGTGGGTATTAATAGATAGCAGCACTTGGGTCAAAAGTACATATGAGGTCAAATTTTTATGATTTGGGCATCACCGCGCATTGATTGACGGGGACTGTGGAATTGTAGATTGTGCTATTGGGCTATCCATCCAGTGGATGACGTGGGAACGAGAGTGTGAACTCCCCAAAACAGACAGGGTAACTGCCATTGCCATATGGTACATTTTTGGTTTGGTTTAATTTTGTTTAACGTCCTAGTTAACGTGCCTCCATGTGTGTAGTTGATGCGTGCTGGCGTGTGTGTATGTAGGAGACCGGGTATGTTGGCAGTTTTGCCTCCTTGTGATAAAGCGGATCTGATGCCGACTTTATAGTGCTATATCTCACTTAAAGACCATGCCGAAGGCACAAAAGGATATTCAATAGATTTAAGACTGTCGCGGCCACAATGCGAAGTGAATTCAATACTAAGTCCACATTTGCTGTCAGCATGTTATGTTACATTTCTTCAGGAAAGATTCTTGTCTTCGAGCATATCCCATTTTCGGTTTTCTGATGGCACTTTAAACATCTACGTGTTACATGATTACTGCACTTTCCCAAAAGGCTAGAATTCTTGGACTATCATCTGATTGTCTCATCAGTACGACTTTAAGGTGTTCTGTCTGTCTCTCCACGGGGGTTCGTCACAAATGTCTGAAATACACATATACTATGCTGATATGGGTCATGTAGCATGTTTATGTGTCCTGTGACCCATATCAGCCTATATAGAATATGTGTATTTCAGACATTTATAACGAACCCCTGTGGTCTCTCTGGTTTAATGTAAGTGTTTCACTGTTACCATGAACTTGTCACTGTGCTTGTTAATTGTTCTTTCAAATTATTGCCTTCCCCTCCCCTAGCTTTCCGCTCATACATTCTTTGTTGGTGTTTTTTAAATGAGTTTGTAAAACTCTTGACAATTCTTGGAGCCTTTATTTTGTTACCTTGCTCTTTATCTGCAGGCTTTTCTAAATGATGGACGGACCACGTCATGTCTAAGAATTGCTTCAGCACTTCCTTATAAATGCTCTTTTCCTTTCAGCACTTTCTTTCCATCATAATCTGCCTTGTATCATCATGTCAAAACTCAAAGACTGTTCGTGCCCAGTACGTAGGGCTCAGAGGGGCGAAGCCTCCCGGAATCTCCTTGATTTTAGGTATTTGGCACATACATTACGACTAGTTTTGAGTGTGATTGCACTAACTTTGCTGATTGTAATTGTACATTGCTATTTCTGGTTGTTTCGACATCATTCATAATTTATATCGGTTAAAAAAGATGATCGCTTAACCGGTTTTCATTGGACCACTTCGTGTGTATTTCCCGGTTTGCGGTGGAGTCTGATCTCCTTATTTCATAATGCTGTTGTTTTGTTTGTATGTTGTTGTTTTTTTAGTTTGTTTTGTTTCATTTAAGTTTAAATTTCAATTGATCACGGGGGTAGTCCCGATACGCTGACGTCAGTGTGATACTCGCTGTTTGGATTACGTCGGAGCAAAAAGTTAGTTTTGCGCCAAATACGGCTTACGTCAGAGTAAAATGCTCCCATGATGGAAGAACGTGGGAGGTATTTTTGCGCTTTCTTGTATAAATACTGAAAACTTACCATTTTAACTCAGCCTATATACTATAAGTTTGTCTTAAGCTACTATATCAATATCTATTTTTTTAGATTAAATTGGTTTTGACTGAATAACCATATATATATATACGGACATCAGTTTACATACAGCTTTGTGGAGATTTGAATGTAATACACTGTACTATTTAATTAAATTACTTTTACACAACACATGTCTTGGCCAATGACTCATCAACAAAACAACATTGAATAGTCTGAACTGAAAGCAAGTTTTAGCGATATTTTTATCAAAATATGCTGTTGGTATGTATGCTGATACGGATTACGACCCTGTATGATACGGATTACGTTCATTTACAAACTGGAATGATACGGATTACGGTCAAACAATTATATTTTAACTAAATGAAAATCAATATTTTAACAAATTTTAGGATATTTTCTCGGTCACACAGCATCACATAGGAACAAAAAGAATGTTTATAATTGAGTTTCGTAAGTTTTCTAGATCTGAGACTTCCCAAAAGTTTGATTTTTTTCTTTTGGGTTTTAATACCACACTCATTACAAACTTGGCCGTCATTTGGGGTATATTTGTATCAGTTATATAGACCGAATATGTTCGTAATTATGAAATCTAGACAGGGGGTATAGGAATAAAATAATTATCAGACAATTATATAAACTTACATTCTTATTCATATCAATTATATTTCATTCACCACACACTGCAGCTCGCACATGTATGGTGTGACTATCAAAAAACAAAATCACGTGACTAAACAAATGATGTATGTTTCCAATGGAAAGTTTTATTGTTAAATGAAAACAATGATTCTGTCTCGGAATCACTTTAGTTCAACTAATAAGTTATAATTAATTACCAGAAAATTATAAAAAAAACCTTACATGGTAAGCTACTTATTGACGGGCAGTAACTTTCATTTCAAGGGAGGGAGTTCGTAATGGTCTGTGACGCGACCTCACAACCTTTAACAACTAGAACTGTAAGCCAAAGACTAACTAATAGCCCCGCTCCTATATAAACCAGAACTGTAAGCCAAAGGCTAACTAATACCCCCGCTCCTATATAAACCAGAACTGTAAGCTAAAGGCTAAATGAGGTAAAGCATTGCATTTGGCAATCCATACTCTCCACCCAGTATTGATTTCTTTATTCACAGAGCTGTACACTTATTTAAGTATATAGGTAACTGACATACTTTCTGTACTCCCTCCCAATGGCAACACATACTTGCAAACCAAATCGTGTTCGTTCAGTTTTGCTGAAATCGTCATAGTGTTTAAGGAAGAGTTGCCAGGACAAAGATTTCAAAAAAAAAGGGCCATAATTCCTTAAAAAAGGACCGGAATGAAAAAAATCTACACTGATGCACGATATCAGGGGGTAATTACTTTAATTGTAAAATTTCATTGAAATCGGACCAGTATACGCGTAGTTTAGGAGAAAGACAAAGTTTTTTTTCAACAAAGGACCATAACTCTTTTAAAAGGGTCGGAATGAAAAAGTACTACTTGGATGCAGAACAGCAGGGGGCAGTTACGATATATGTAAACTTTGAAATTGTCCGAGTTGATTAGGAGAAGTTGTCAGGGCAAGGACTTTTCACGAAAGGGCCATAACTCCATAAAAAGGGGTTGGAAAAAAATACCTTGATGCACAACATCAGGGGGTAATTATTGTATCTGAAAACTTCCGTTGAAATTGGCCCAATAGTTTTGGAGGAGTTGTGTGGACAAATATTTTTCAACAAAGGGCCATTACTCCGTAAAAAAGGGGTAAGATTGAACAAATAATACCTGGATGCACAACATCAGGTGGTATTTATCCTATCTGAATCCTTTGAAATTTGCCGAGTAGATTAGGAGAAATTGTCAGGACAATATTTTTCAAGAAAGGGCCAAAACTCCATAAAAAGGGATTGAGAAAACACATATCTGGATGCACAACATCAGGGGGTAGTTATTATATCTGAAAACTTTCGTTGAAATTGGCCCAGTAGTTTTGGAGAAGTTGTCGGGGCAAGCATTTTTCAACAAAGGGCAATTACTCCGTAAAAAAAGGGGAGAACGAAAAAATAATACCTGGATGCACAATATCAGGTTGTAGCTATCATATCTGAAAACTTTTCAACAAAGGGCCATGACTTTGTAAATAATGGTCAGAATGAAAAAAAGAATACATGGACAGACGGACGGACAGACATGCTGATTCCAGTGTTACCCCTAACTTTGCTGCGGGGGTATAATAACATGTCTAACTTGCTTATTCAAGTGATATAAAAATAACATGACTGACCTGTTGAGGGTATGTATAAGAGTAACATAAATTCATTTTCAAAGTTACTTTGTCTCTCAGAGCTATTAATTTCTTTACATTGGCATGTCTTTTCCAAATAAGGGGAGGGGACCAGTGCTTGTTATGGTTCAACATTATCCAAACTATAAGTGTGTTGGTTATAATCCGTATCAGCAGTATTAAATAGCAATTTATGCAAAAATGTAATGTCCATGTTATAAATTAATATATTCAATAATAATATCATTATTCGTTCTATTATTGTAGCTATTTACTTCATTTCAATGACACGTGGAATCGTTTTATTCATCTTTAAATCAAAGAAAGTTTGTGTATTCTCGGTTCAGATCTGTACCTGTCGTTTTCTTTACAGGTTCAACCGTTTCAACCGGATACGCGAATGTACCCCCATTTTTGGTAGGAACGAAATAACCATGACACCGTCTACATTGGAACTCTCCGGTTTTAAACGGTAATAAAATACCAAATGGATCCAAATGTATTTCTGAAATCCAGACACATCAAATTCTTTGAAAGATGTCTTCAGATATTACCTGAGAGATATTCTTCGTTAGACAGTAACAGGTAAAGTATGTTCTATAAAAGAAAGGGTGTATTGGTAAAGAAATTGCTGGAAACGGCTGATTCCGCGATATATGCTGAATCAGCTGACTGACCGGTTCACCGATCGAAAAAGAACTTGTCTGTGACTGTACTATAATTCATAAAATACGTGAGGTGTTGGCATCACAGGGGACTAAAGTCAGGGTATGTGTTTTTCCATGATGCATTTCACATACTTATCCTTTAGACAATAAATATATTAGACATGAGCTAGTGTGGGTGTGCATGTGTGTGAGAGGAAAACTATTATATAAAACAACATTCTAAAAAGTATATATTTATCATTGTATAGACTGATATAGGCATAGCCTGTTTTTATCAATACTATACTAACATCTTCTTTAATATATACAACTTATATGTCTGTATTATATATATGTATTGTCAATAAAATAATATTGAATTGAATATATGTATCCTTTAAATATTCACTACCATAAGAACAATGCTGCTATGAGGGATATATGTCAGACTTTCACATAGCAGTGCACTCTGGCCCCACACCAGACATCGGTATCATATCGTATGTCAAAATGTCTAAGTCTGGTGTTGGGTCCAGACGAAACTTGGGCTAATATCGGACTGGGAGCAGGAGCCCGTGTATGGAAGGGGTAACCAGGAAAAGGAGATATTGTTGACTAAATGGTGTACATGTGGTGTGAGGATTAATGTTAAATCGGCCCCAGGCAAAATCGGCCTCGATTTTCCCAAGTTAAAATCGGTCCTATTATGCATGGAATATACACAAATGTTATAATAACCACTTTCTTTGGGTTTCATTTATAAATCAACTTCTGAACATAAACATTATATTTAAATAAATAAATTTGGGCGCTAGTATCAATTGAAACCATATTTCGGCCATAAATGGAATATGCATATTTAAATAAACTTGATTTCATTATATACTATTTGTCTGTCTATATACATGTTCGGACATCAGTATTAATAAAATCATAGTTTTGGCCTACATGTACACGAACATACACAATTTGACTTTATCAAACATTTAATGACCGCCGACAATATTTGGAGCGGAAATATAATATTTAATAAAATCAAATATCATCATACGTGTACATACTTGTGAGAAACATGATTTCATTAGATACTAAGTGCCCGTACATGTATTTTGTACGAGCGGTAGTATCAAATGAAACCATATTTTGGCCATAAATGGAATATACATCGGACATCAAAATACAATATACTATATTAAAACATTATTTAAAAAAACTCGATTTCATTATATACTATTTTATATGGACATATAGATGGACAAAGAGTTGTCATATAGACGGGCAAAATGTATCTAATGAAATCAAGTTTAATATATTAATTTAAAGATAATTGTACTTATAAATGTCTATATCCCATGTATTTAACATATAGATACATAGTAGGGCCGATCTTAACTTGGGCCGATTTTACCCAAGTGATATTACTTAGGGCAGATTTAACCAAATCCGGTGTGGGGGCTTTCTCTGCGAAATTTTGTAATTCTGGTAGATGATGTTCACCAATTGAAAATGTTCATGAATTTTACAATCTCACTGTAAGTCTTTTAATATTAAAAATTGACAATACCGAATTAATCTTCTGTCAAATCAGTGAAATTCAGTTTCTTTCATGAATTTAGAAACAAAATACTACTTAATATTGAACAAATTTAACAATCTGGTTTAACTAATGAAAGCCACCAGATAGCACCACAGAACATCTAGATATCATTTTTTCCATGAAAGGAGGGTTCCTAGGAAGTCTAGTTGATAATTTTACACACACCCTGTTTACAGTCCAGCAACACACCTGTTTGATTGCATCATATAGCTATGCAATTTTGATAAAGATTATATATTTGAATATTAAGGTTAATATTAATTCTTGTAATTTCAGAATGACAGTAGCCTTTTTTGCCTTGTCTGGACTTGATATGTTGAACTCATTAGATGTTGTAGAGAAAAATAAAAAGGAGATCATAGATTGGATCTATTCATTACAACTTCTGCCTGCTGAAGATGGTAATTATTTTTGGTTAATTCTCAGCTTTAATATAAGAAGTTATTTGACTTTTATCTAACAAGTCTGACAGATAGTTGTTGTACAGGTTATATTACAGTATAACATTCCTGAAATGATAACTTGATCATTCAATCACTGTTATTTTGCTTTACTCTTTCTGAAATTATACCCTTCTCATTGACCATGATCAGAATACAAATTGAATCGTAGCATATCATATTATTAAATGTGGCATTCTCTCCTTCCTTTTGCTAATTTTACCTTAAATATGTTTAAATAAAAACATTTTTGTTTTGTTTCTTTCTCTGCAGATTCAAACCTTGGCCAATGTGGATTCAGGGGTTCCACAACAAATGGAAATTCATTTGATACAGAAAAGGTAAACAATAGTCACTCCCTCTTTACACTAACATATTCTTTTTTCGTACATTTTTAGGTCACCTGAGCTTTGCTCAAGTGACCTATTCTAATCGCTTTTCGTCCGTCGTCCGTGTCCTCCGTCGTGCGTAAACTTTTACATTTTCAACTTCTTCTCAAGAACCAGTGGATGGATTTTTTTCAAACTTGGTCAGAATCATCCTTGGTAGATGAGGCTTCAAAATTGTAAAATTGGGATTCCTACCCCAACCCCTGGGGCCAGGGCGGGGCCCCAAAGGGAAAATTAATCAATATTTCAAAAATCTTCTTCTCCAGACTCAGAGGTACTACA